GTGCACTAATAGGTTATAATAGAACGCTGACTGGATAGTTTGTTTTATCCATAAAAAATTAATTGAATAGAGAAAGCTGACTTGAACTAAAGCGATAAATTACTTATAAAATCGGAAAATACCCAAAATGCCACATTACATGCATCCAGCTGTCTCTAAAGATATGCATAATAATATGTCGAAATTAAACCTTTCTTCGCACTCAGAACAGTTTTTCCGCGTGATAACTTCTTATCAATTTGACTATCTTCATGTTTCATATTCGACTTCAAAGTCACTAGAAGCAGCGTTCTTTCGAGCACAACTCTCTGACAGTTCAGAAAAAAGTCTACTGCCAGACCCAGTTGTAGTAGAGTCGATATAGCGAAGTATTATTTCCATGAGATAGCTTTGATTGCATTAACTCGTGAACTATCTTCTTCTAGATTAAGATATGCAATAAACTTTCGTGCATTTGATCTATATTTGCAAATTTCAATATTGAAAAGCTGTCATATTTTACAATTATTTTTACTATTTTTACTATCAATTATTTTGATGTTGCTTAATAATTTTAGCGGAATCATGTTAAGTTCGCCTTTAAATAAGTAATGATTTTTCACCAATACAATGACTGCAAATTGTTTTTTCTTCCCTTTTCACTGTGAATTCAAAGTTTTTCTCAATTCGGCTCATAACTAAATGCACATTTGTTCTGTCTGTCAGGGGTAAAAATCGAATTTTAACCATGCAATTAAACATTCTATTTCTAATTAATATAGCTTGGCGGTTTCAACTTTGAGGTGCTGTATTTTAGCTGAGAGTAAATTTGGCATGCTCACCAGTGTGGCGAACTTCCAAAGTGTTGCAAATGATTCTTTATTGTGCTTAAGACTTTCTTTGAGTACTTGCCTTAAGGAGCATCAGACGTAATTGGATAATCCTCCGAGGCATATACCTCAATTAGTAAAGTATCATATGAATATCTGAATTTTGTTTAATGGCAAATCATTTTAATTTTTGAAGTGACTCCTTCGCGCCATACTTTATCGAATGTTCAAATTCGTCAAAAAAATTTTCTGAGCAATACGATTACTTTTTCCACACAAATACCTTCCTCATCTCATTGGTAATGCGATAAACTTGTTTTTGCGATACACGAACTGATGATTAAGTATAGTTTTGTAGTACTTTACATAAGCTAATTGGTCGATATGATGCCTGCTGAGTTGCGTCTTTTCCAGGTTCAGCTCTAATGGCATTCTGCGAATTTTTCCATACATCCAGAAAATATCCAAGCTCAAAGATGGCATTAAGGCGTTCGGACAACCAATTGAAATCAATATTTGGTAGATCTGTGGTGCTATGTGGTTATAACCAGGCGATTTTTTTATAATTGACATTTGACTACTATCTCAAATGAGGTCGTGTTCACGTCAAGAATAGTCCTAGATGCATGGTGAGACAAAGATGAAATCATAAAATTATTCATTGCGACATTGGTTTAGAATACCTCATTAAGGTGATTTGCAAGGCATTTAGGCCTTACTTCTTCAGAGCGAGCACAAGCACCGGTCTCTCAATTTCTGCTTTTGGCTTAAAGTTCTTTTCAGCCTTCCACAATGGATTTTATTTTAGAAGAACTCGGCTTCAAGGTAGAAATAAATCTCTTTAAGTCCGCCCTTCTTCATATTTTAAAGTTCTCCTCAGTTTTTTATATAATTTATACAGATTACTGTATTGTTTTTCGATTGCAAAGCACTCAATTAGGATGGAGGGGGAAAGAGTGCTGTATTTTTCTTCTGAATCGATCATTATAGTTATTTAAAGTCTCCTTGCTAAATTTCCACAAATACTATTTATAGATAAACTGAAAATACAAAACATTCAATCAAATATTTACGATTTGTTTATACCCGTTACGCCTCTAGATTGCCATGACAAAATTCGCTGCGGAGCTTAAGTGATAAAAACTTACCGATGAAATCTAAATAAACATAGAAACACACACATTGACATACATCCTTATGGCGTGTAATTGCACATTGGTAGAGTCATAATTGCACGCGCGTATTTATATTGTTTATTTTAATTTTTATTTTTCATTTTGTTTTTAATAATTTCTGTTGCCCTACCATCATTCAACCAGCAGCAGCTTAACAACGTGCAAGAATATTACTATTTTTATTTCTCTGTGCATATAAATTTGCATATCCACGCTTGCTTGTCTGTTTTTGCTTAAACTTGCCATTTATGTACATGTGTGTGTGTGTGTGTGTGTGTGTGTATGTGCTTGTGCATAGATTTGTTTATTCACTGCTATGACTTTATTGCATATTATGCAAATGTGTATCCAAATGGCTTTTTTGTTTGCCGTTATTATTTAGGTGCCATTGACTTCTTCACTTGACAGTTTTAAGTTCAACTGCAATGTTGTTATGCCGATTATCATCGTTATGTCAACGTAATGTTTCGGAAGCGAACGCGTTGAATACAGCGTAGAGTGGTGATTCGGTTACAGTAAAGACACATGCCTACATATATACTTGAAATTAATATTTCTTTTCAAAATTTATTTTGAACTCTCTGAATTAGGGATACGATGGCACGCCACATGTTAATCGCTGATTATTTCGCTAAAAATTGTGCATTTATGTCTAATAGAATTCATGAAGGTTCTCTCTTCATTTGGCTTTAAGCTTGATATTTTGCGCATCATTTATGAACAAGAATAACAGTATTATACAGTGGCTCACAGCCAAAGTGATGCAGCTGTGTAAGAAATATTATAACAAGTTTTATTTAAAAATTAAATAAATTTTTCAAAATTATACCTTAAAGTGAATTTATGTGGGTATCATGAATATGAGTGCACGTTAACACAGGTAAAAAGGGTGCAAACCACCTTTCTCCATCTGCCTATATATACGTAGATACAATTTTTATTAAAAGTAGAAGCTTTCCATTAACCTCGTCGTAGCCAGATGGAAATCATATCCTGTCGAGCGCGTACTGTGGTTGATCCTAAGTGTAGGCTAAAGTCTATAACATGACATCTGCAGTCGCTAACACAAAGTTTTTAAAGCCAAGAGGGATTTAACTTTAAGGATATATACTAGGGTATTCGCACTAATGGAATTATTAGCTAGTCTTCTACATACAAATGTTTGGTTCGAGACAAGGGACGGCATTTTTTCCCGAATTCCTCTAATTATCCGTCGAGTTTTCCAGTATTTATCAGCAATATATCGTCTCTTGGCATGTTCCACACAATGTATATGATTCTCCAATTCAAAAAATCGTACCTAGATGTTGTGTCTCGAATCAAGGGTAAGCAAATGTCGTCTCTGCCTACCTTGTGGATATTTTCAATAAATCACCCATGAGAATTTGCACGCCAGCAAAACGTATTAAAATATAATCTTGAGGCCAACTTCTCACCATTAAACGCGTTCGCCATTGACAGGAAAAGATGGTTTTCACTTGGTGTCATGTCTGGACTATAAGGTGGGTGCATTAAGACCTCCCATCCGAGCCGAACTGAGCGTTTGGTCATAGGGAAGTAGCTCGTAGTAGATGATTCCTTGCCAATCCCACCGAACACATAGCAAAACCTTCCTGGCCATCAATCTGGTCTTGGTCACTGTTTGGACCGCTTCGCCGAGCTTTGATCACGACCGTTTGCGCTCGATGTTGTCGTAAGTGACCTATTTTTCATTGCCAGTCACAATCCGCTTCAGAAACAGGTCGATTTTGTTGCGATTCAGCAGCGATTCGCAGATGGCAATTCGGTCCAACATCGAGTTTCTTTTTGAACCCAATGTTATGCAAATGGTTCCAAACAGTTTTCTGGCTTATCTTTAGTTCCTCAGCAATTAAATAAGTGCTCACGTGATGGTCTGTTTCCACTATTTCTATGATTTTATCTCAATTTTCGACGACAGGCCTCGCGACGCGTGGTGCATCTTTGACATCGAAATTACCGGAACGGAACCTAGCAAACCACTTTTGTGCTACACGTTTGCTCACAGTACCGGTCCCATAAACTAAATTAGTTTTTTAAGCCGCTTTGGCTGCTTTTTCGCCTTGATCGAAGAAAAATTGTGAAATTTAGCGAATTTTCTCTTTGCTGGTGTCCATCTTTGACGAGCGCGCACAACGTACTGAGTCAATTAATCGGAAAACTGTCAAAGGCAAACGCAACGCAAAACCCGAACGAACTTTTTACTTGACCTAATATATTTTATTTATACCTAATCCTGCATATACATTTTTCAGTCAATCAACGCCTGAAAACACAGAGGATTTCAAACTAACCAAGCTATTAAGAAATAGCGGCAAAAGAAGCGCACATAATAGTTGTTGGTTTATGTTCGTGCAGTGGTAGAGCACTCGCCTGTTAAGCCAGAATCCGTCTGTTCGATCCCTACCATAAGAAGTCTGATGAGGAGATGTGGTGATCTCCGAAACAGCTGTCACTTCTTCCATTTTTTTTTTGTTGTATAATAAAATATTCAATTCATACAATGGTGGCCTTTAGTTTACTTAATACTTATAACAAAAATTAATATAGTATGGACGCAAATTATAATATTGTAAATATAATTTCCAAGAAAGTTCTAGACAACATTAATAAAACCTTGTGAGCCAAGTTTTCTCTGGCCATACACTTTCCCTTCAAGTGTCTTATTATTTGTCAGTAGACCTACAAATATTCCCTCTCTAAGGGTTGCCTCGCTGTGTTTCGGAAAATTCCCTTTAAGATATCACACATGGGTTGCTATCTTGAGACATCGCTTTGTACTCACTTAGGAAGGACGAATTTCTCACTAGAATCCGGCTTTAATGATGGATTTGGAAACTTTGACGCGGGCAGGGTTCTTGGATAGTGAATATCGTATTTTAACTTGGTTGTAATACCTTTTATTTGAGTTAAACTCAGAAAGTAACAATCACTTCGTGATTTCAATCAAAAATTTCGCTTAAAAATATTTTTCAGTAAATAAATAAATTAGAAGACACGTTGTATAGACTTATTAGTAAATAAAACTAGTAATGTCGATGACAAATTGTATACCAAGACACAATAATAAATATACTTGTAGATGTTTACATACATACGTGTATGTAAATATGTGAAAAAATGCATTTAGGCTTGTAATCTCTCCATGTACTTGAGCTGGTTTCTTTTAACCGATTGATTGTTCCAAATAAAATAAACAAGTGTTCATGTGTGTATGTAAGTATGTATGTATATTGCATTCGTCAGCATATTAAATTTACATATGTACATGCTTTTAAGGGATGAACGTACAATCGAACCAATAGTGGGTGGTTGTCTAGCGCTAGCTAACCCTGCAGCAAAAGAACTGTCTCAAATAATTATTCTCACCTCAAAACATGGGTAATTGTATGCGAAACAGAAAAAAATTATTAGGCAAATTTATTAGGCATGTTTTTTTTACTAGAAAATTTCCTTAGACTATTAAGGGTGCCGTCAGATGCATGTTGTGTTTAACTGGCTTATTCGTCGGGTCTCACTTAGGTTATATTGCGTTCATAGTCTTGCCGGGCACACTACACATGATCAAACTGGTTTGCTACACCGTTAACATTGCCGTTGGTGGATCCTGTAGCCAATCTGATATCGTGACCCTAAATTTCCTGCACTTCTTGTTTTTAATCAAATACATATAATATTAACAGCATGCGGCGCCAATAGCCAATGCTCCGTTGACAGTTCTACAAGCAATCTAGAAACTGTCCTCTTTACCGCTGGTAAAAACTTGGTAAGTTTAGCACCGTAAGCTTTGAACATTGCTTTCGCGATTCTGCAGCGCTTCTAAGATCTGTTCGTCTGGCGAAGTTAAATTACTTCACTGCACTGAATGGATCTGGTTGGTTCGTTATTACGTCCAGTTTTAAAAGGACACCTTCTTTAGCAAGTTCGTCAGCTATCAGAAGGCAATACAATCAATTTTCGAGCGACCTGCCACACAGTAAACGAGTAAATGTGAATTCTCCTTTTTTTGAACAGTATTTTTATAAAATGCGGCCACAGTCAACATCGTGCTATTTTAAATTAAGGTCTTGATGGCTCGTTTGGTTATTGAAGTATTGAAACCCGGCTCTTTGCAGTAGCTGTGGCTCAGTTTTTATAGAAAATATTTCGATTTGGAAGTTACTGCAATGGTTTGACAGCTTAAATGACTTTATAATCTCTTATTGAGTATAGTAAACTGGAGCCCCCATTCCTTCCCTTTACGTACGTCTGTTCGTGCTCGTAAATCCCGATGCTGTTAAGCGGATAGCCTCGCAGCAGTTATAAAAATTCAACAGCAGAAACCAGTGACCGTTACACACTCGTCGAAATTGAAATTTTTGGTCAGCAAAATGCGCGAAGGAAACAAAAACTGCTACGCCTGACGTCACTTTTTACGTTCTGCAGCTCGCTTTATTAACAACCAGTCTAATAATGGTGGTCATTTTAGTAAGCATTGACCGCGTTCTATACCACATCAATACCCTTAAGTACACATTAACATATATACAAATACTCGTATTTATTTATTCGCTCCATTAATTACACATAAACTTGACCTTCAGCCCATAATGGCGGCACAAGTTACATTGAACCAATATTTCTTTAGCATTTCTTTTAGTCGCACAAAATGTCTACTCGAGTATAAATGAAAAATATCCAACGTTAGTACGAAATTTTAAAATTTTTATTTTTCTCTGTATTTTGCCTTACAGAATTGCCAGAAAATCATACGCTTACGTTCGTTAAATGCTAAAACGGATCCAGCCACATTGGCGCGTGAAGTCGTAGACAAATGTGATCTCATACACAAATCCCAATTGGCGGATGTGGAACAGATAATATTTTATCTGAAAAATCGTAAAGACAATGCTGGTGCAGGTGAGTTGAATAAATTTAGTATCGATTTAAAGGATATTTTTTTCGGCCTTTATTGTTAGGACTAAGAATTTTGTTTCCTTCAATATATTGATTGCTTCGTTGGCTGTATGGCATGCAAAAGTCATTAATCATATCTATAGCATTCCCCATTGGCTTTTACATTATGTTCGGGTTTAATTTTTGAAGAAATGTAGATCAATAATTCCAATGGTTTGTGGATTCTCATCAATCCCAATACGACGTCTCATTAACCGAATGTTTGACGCGCAAAATCTTCTATAAAGTGGATGGCCGCAGCTCCAATGGTTGCACACCAGAGCGAATGGACTCATTCGGGTCTTCTTAGATACTCTGCTTCACATCAGTGAACATGCTGTGATGCCGATCGGTGGTTGCTCGAATTACAGTCTCTTCTGGGCAATTTTGTTGATCGACAATTTGCAAATTTTATTCCGGCGTAACAATCTTCATTTTGAAATAACAAGCCAAACGAAGTACAATACAAATCAAACTATCTGAAAGACCAAATGCAAAAAGAGTCTCATTTAAAAAAACTGAACTTCAGCGGCATCTAGCATGCCTTTAAGAGCGGGAAAATAACTGCTAATAATCCATATAGGGGTTTTGAAACTAATTTTTTATAAAAACTAAAATTTTTCTATCTAAAAATCCATTTAATGTCTGCTTTTCGAAAAAAAATTTCAGATATCGCTGATAACAACAGCCAGCATCATCGGTCGGCTGTTTCGGCGAAGCGTACGCCAGCTACCAAAGTGAACTCAAACTCTGCTGCACTTTCGCCCGCTAAAACACCAGCTAGCAATGCTGATGTTTCCATCAATAATATTGATGAATATGTGGAGCTGCTGTATGAGGATTTGAGTGAGCGGATACGTGGTTCAGCGATGATACTGCAAGTGGCGCGTAATCCAGATAATCTGGAAGAACTGGAGAAAAATGGTAGGTCATTTCAACAATTCCGGAATTTTTAACTCATTTTTGTAAATTCATTTAACTCCACCTATGTCTTCTATTCTTCACCACAGAGGCTTGTTTGAGCGCTTTGTCGCGTGTGTTGCGTGAAGATTGGCGCAAAAGTTTAGATCTATCTACAAATATTATATATATTTTCTTCTGCTTTTCTACCTATACGAAATTCCATCCCGTTATTGTGCAATATAAGGTAAGTAGTGATGGGTTGAATTGTTATTTTACACTTTATAAAATATATTTTGCATGTCAGTGTATAATATGTCAGTTACGTTTAGTTAAAATGGATATTTTATTCTTAGAAGAGGCTTAGAAGAGGAATAATATTGCGTCAGTTTGTACAACCGTATAATTTTTTCAAAGATACCGATTTCAAATACATATATTTTGGTAGGGATAGATCATTATCGTACTGTCTATGGTAGCTTCGAAATCGACGAGGAGGTGTTCCGATCCTCTTTTCACGGTTATTTACCAAGAATATCTCCAAACTGACGTAGACCGTGGGGTCTACCTTAATTCGACCAAAGAAGAGCTAAGAATCTTATAGATGTATGCAACTTTTCGGATCCAGCCGCTCTGTTATGCTTTGAATATTGGTCAGTAGATTACCTCCTTGCCTCCTGCATCTTTTCATGGAATTTTTGAGCATTTGCGTATTGATCTGTACTCTCAACTGGAAATTTACTGTATTGGCAGCTTTTCGATGTCGAATCATTCTTGTGTTTGTTGACGGGCATTCTTTGCCATACAGAGCCGGGCTCTTATCTTCGTTCCAGTGGGTGAATGCCTTATAGAGTGATCTGTCGCTTTCAAATGTTTGGTCGTCATCCAATACATATTTTTTCCATTTTTCATTTTGTATTTTATTTATACAAAACTCGCAGGAACTCGCCTCCACACTTCAGCTCGACCTCAAACAAATGTTTGTATGCTATCCAGATGATACTTGGTTTCAGACCGAAAGTTGTAAACTGCTTGAGCCATTTGTAAAAGAACCGTTTCTGGCCACTCCCAGCTAAATGAGAGTCAAGAACTTTCTTTGGAATATCAAAGAATATTACAATTATTATTCCTTATTTTTTATATTTTCTGTTTGTATTTTGAATTTTTCTCAACAGATTGGTTCTCTCTGTATGGACGTCATAGACTATGAGCTGCGACGTTATGAAACAATGCGCAATGAATTAGATGTGAGAAAGAATCCCGTTACCTCTGCACCACTTTCAGCTAAATCGAGCAAAGAGAAACTGAATCGCAGCACTGACGATTTCCTTGATATAATGAATGAGGAAAAGCCAAAGGAGGCAAGCTTGCGACGAAATAATATAAAAAATTAAAAAAAAAATTGATTCTCTTGTTTTCATTTAGATGGAACCACCACGTCGACGCATACCCGAACTGAAACAACGTCCGAAGTCTGGCAATTGGTCCAGTTTCCATGGTTCGATGTCCTCCTCACTGATGAAAAGCCAAGTACTCAATAGCAGCTACCATGAAGCGCTCTCCAATGGTGCAGTCACACCCGATTCGGGTATATCGACGAATGGCGATATGAAAGCGACTAGTAATGAGGCTCTCGATCGTAATGATCCCAAAGTTAAGAAAGAAGAAATCGATCGTCTTAATAAACAATTGAAAGTATTTGCTAAAAAACAAGAACAACTACTGCGTGTCGCTTTCTATTTGCTACTCAATATGGCGGAGAATATAAAATTGGAGGAAAAAATGCGACGCAAGCATATTGTGAAAATGCTCGTGAAGACTTTGGATCGACAAAATATCGATTTGCTGATGTTGGTGACCACGTTCTTGAAGAAACTTTCAATTGTACGCGACAACAAAGATGATATGGGTGAATTCAATATCATTGCCAAATTGCCACGGCTCTTCCAGAGTGGTCACACCGATTTAGCGCAGGTGACGTTGAAACTTGTCTTCAATTTGTCATTTGATGGTGTGTTGCGGCGTAAAATGGTCGGTGCTGGTTACCTGCCGAAGTTGGTGATGTTCATCAATGATGAGAAACATCACGGTATTGCTATGAAGATACTTTATCACATGAGCTTAGATGATTGGGTGAGTTGATATCGCATTTACGATTTACGGCTTCAATAGTTGTAATTTATAATTAATTTTCTTTTCTTTTTTTAGGTTAAAGGCTTATTCACACACACCGAGTGCGTTCAAATGGCTACCGACGCTATCGTACTCAATTTAAACAGCAAAGTCGATCTCGATCTCATCTCGCTCTGCATCAATCTGTCGTTGAATAAACGCAACGCACAAATTATGGTCGAAGGCAATCGTCTGCACGATCTAATGGATCGTGCCTTCAAGTATCAAGACTCACTACTCATGAAACTCTTGCGCAATCTCTCGCAACATGAAATGCTGCAGCCAAAATTCATCGATTATGTTGGTGATTTGGCACGCATACTCACAATATGTGAAGATGAATCTTTTGTAGTGGAATGCCTTGGCATACTCGGGAATCTGTCATTAGCCGATCTGGATTATTCACAAATATTGCAAAACTTCCAATTAATACCCTGGATACGGGATGTGCTGGTGCCAGGCGCCAAATTGGATGATATGGTATTGGACACCATAGTTTATTTGGGCACCTGTGCACACGATGAACTTTGTGCTCTGCTCTTCTGTCGCGCTAAAGTCGTACTCTCGCTGATCGAACTGCTGAAGGCCAAACAAGAAGATGATGAAATTGTTTTGCAAATCATTTTCGTATTCCAACAGATCTTACGGCACGAGAGTACACGCGAATATATGATCAAAGAGACTGAATCGCCAGCGTATCTGATCGATTTGATGCACGATAAGAATGCTGAGATACGAAAAGTCTGCGATTATTGTTTGGACATCATTGCCATGAGTGATACTGAGTGGGCGAAAAGAATTAAGGTGAGTGGGGGGGAGGGGAGATTTTTCAAAATGGGTTGGATGGGATGGCTTAGTTTTAGACTCGCACTACCATTTAACAGTATTGTTTAAGATTTCCTATGAAATCCGTTTTGAGTATTTTTTTCATTTTTTAGCTTGAAAAATTCCGCAATCACAACTCACAATGGCTTTGTATGGTCGAATCGCAGCAAGATCAGGACAATGAACAGGACTACGCTGATAATGATGAGAATGAGAACGAACTCGACACCTATCTGCGTAACGATTATTTAGACAACTGCGACCTGTACAATAGTGCGAATACAAATAAGGAGAGTGAAGATAATGAAAGCAACAATCCAGCCAGTCCTGCATTGTCTACCTACAGTCGACCAGTGAGCAGGTGAGAAAGAATTTCTTGTTTAAAATTTAATATTAATTCCGAAAATTCTTCAATTGAATGGCTGGAAAAGAATGTGTATTTGTAATCTGTTTATTAATTAATTTTAAGGGGTTGGCTGGAAAAAACATAACAAATTAAAGAAAAATAAAATATAAATAATTAATTGAGTTAAAAAAAAAATAACCAAACCAATAAATAAATATTTGAATGTCTAGGTAAAAACAAAAACTCTGTTTCTTAATTTTATACCGGATTTCACTCAAATTTCGATCTAAATTAAAGTTTAGTTTCTCGGCAAATAATCGGTAAATAATTATGAATCCTTAACCTGATATTTTATAGTATTTTTTTTATTCTTTTAGTAGTAAATTCGTGGAAGTTAAAAATTAATCATTTGAATTTTAGTTATTGTTATTTTGAAAAACATTAATGATACAGCAAGAACAACACGTGAAAAACTATATAAAAACCTAATAAAGATTAGAATTATTATTTAAATATTATTAATAAATATTTACGTGTCTACATTGTTGATATTTTGTACTCTAATTTATATTTAACATTAAATTTTTTGGGAAAAAGCCTTTGAAAAATTTCTGAAAATAATTACTTAACATTTTATGATAAAAATCTTTTTATAAGCTTTATTTTTAATTATTTAACTCTTTGAGAAAAATTCAAAAACTATAAGAGTCAATTATTAAAACAATAAATTATATAAAGAACTGTAAGGAGGTAATTAAATATTTCACGGACTGAAGCAAAAATGTTTAACAAAAAAAAATAAATAAAAAAATATTATTTATAATATAAAATATAATTATTTAAATGTCTTACTAAAAAATAAATAAAAAAAACTGATAGCCGATAGTTGGCAATTTCGAATGAATCTTAATTTCTCGGCAAAACTCTTAATAATAACCTAAAATTTTAAGATCAAAATAAAATTAGAAATATTTTTTCAAATTATGCAGTAAATTGTTTTCAAAAACGCTCAAAAAAATTGTTAAAGATTTTTTTTTTTTAATTTTTTTTAACTAACAGAGAAAACAATTATATTTGTGTATGCACTTTTGTGTAGTTTCTTAACACTTTTGGTATTTAAATTATTATTGTTATGTTATTATAAGTCTATTAAGAGTCTAAAAGTACTTTTCTTTCAATTTTATTTTTTACTTCGTGTAGGTGAAAGCCGAAAATTTTAACAAAAACAAAAAATTAAATATACATTTACTTACTTTAATAAGGTGTTCGCCTAAAACTTGTTGTAGATATTTGAAAAAAAAACTACAACTTAAGTTTTCTTTAAAAAAAAATAGTTTTGTGGTTTAAAATATTATTTTTGCTGGTTTCAAAATTATGTGAGTACTTTTCACTTAAATTTTTAAAATCGTATGCTAGTTAATGGAATGCTATATCAACCTAAAATACTTATAATCGACGACTTAATTTATTAGCAATCTAAAAAAATATTTAATTTTTTTCTATTCAAATTTATACGCAATGCATAAATATACTTATTAAAATATTAAGGTGTTTGAACATGAACAAGTTAAGATTGGCCAAGAAGAAGTGAAAGTTCAGTTACAGTGTAGACAGTCGGTGAATTAGTCTGGGGTTGCGCTATTTTACTTAATTCCATCTTACAACACTAAACTAGCGAATACACATAAGTTCATATATACAGGATTATCCATTTTGTGGTTTCGAAAATAACTGTAAATAAAACGCATTTTTTATGAAATTCCTTTTTTTTATACAGTTTGCACCCTGTCATTATATGTGAAGCACCTCATCGTTGAAAGGACCGCCACACGAATTTTCGATAACTTTAAACCGTTGAGGGTAATTTTCGACTACTTTTTCGCACATATTGGGCGGTATCTCATCCAAAACTTAAATACTCGTTTCAAGTGTTCAAGAGTTAAAGGTTTATCCGCATAAACAAGGTTTTTCGCGTAGCCCCGCCAAAAAGTTCAACGGTTGACAGTGATAGTCCCGCCGTTGTCATTTTCCCCCTAGTGAAAAATGGGGTGACTCATCGATGAAGAAAAATTTTGCTCGAAAAATCACAGTCCACAGTTTGTTCTTTAGGAACCCTTACGTGCGTTGTGAATGGTCGGCTGGCTTTAGTTGTTGTGTGAGCTGGACTTTATATATTGCAGATGTCATCTACATCTTAGTCCAAGTGCATAAAACGCCACAATGTGCTGTAAGAAAGTCAGATTTGGGTCTTCGGCTACACTTTCGCTTCCAGTAATGATATTTGAAGTGAAACGAACAAAGCGATGATGATGTAACCGACAAGGTTCTTCAAAATTTAAGCAATTGCTTGAGTAGTTGGGCGATTATGTGCAGCATAATTTCCTATTAAGGCACGAATTGTGGACACGTTGTGTTGTTGTTAAGTGATCCATTTTCATACAAATATGTTTAGCTTTACAGTTAAATTGGATATATATAAAAAAATCAGACCTTATTTCTGAAACCACGAAATGGATAACTCTATAACGTCAAGGGTGTTTTCGAAAAGAAGCAAAACGTATTTTTATTTTACTCTATTTTTTATTTCATTTTTTTTTTCATTTTATTTTTAATTTTTTTCATTTTATTTTATTTTTTATTTTTTTACATTACAATATATTTTTCATTTTGTATAATTTTTAATTTTTTATATATTTTTTCATTTTATTTTATATTAGATTATTGGAATTTTATTTTATATTACTTTATTTTATTACACTTTATTTTAATTTATTTATTTTTTAAACTTCTATTTATTTTTTTTATTTTTTTTTTATTTTAAATATTTTATTTATTTTTTCATTTTATTTTATATTAAATAATTGTATTTCATTTCATTTAGATTTATATTATTTTAATTTATTAACTTTTATTTTATTTTACTTTATTTTATTACACTTTTTTTTATCTTATTTTATATTTCATTTTATTTTTTATTTAGTTTTTTTTTCTTCATTTTATTTATGACTTTTTCAATTTATTTTATTTTGTTTTATTTTATTTCACTTCGTTTTATTTAATTTTATTTCATTGAATTTAATTTTATTTTATTTTATCTAATTTTATTTATTTTATTTTATTCTTTATTTTTATTTTTTAAAAGAGTTTTTTTCATATTATTTTACTTTACTTTATTTCATTTAATTTTATTTAATTTTTTTTTTATATTATTTTATTTTATTTAACCTTAAAATACCCATAGGGTATAAAAATTAACTAAATTCTATTACATAAGCTAATTATTTTTTAATGCCAATCGCTATGTTGTAGTAGTAAACTTTATTGGTTCTGATATTTCAGATGGACAAATGCCAAGTCACACACCTTGCGACACAAGCAATGGCCGTCAATGTACTTTAGTGCAAATAAAAAGTTTTTAAAAAATAAACTTCAGAAAATTCAATTTGCAAAATAACGAAGAAAAGGTTTTTATTAATTGTTGTTTTCTTCTGCTACTATCTCTCATCGTGTCTTCTAAAACTATTTACTGTGTAATGCAATTCATGTTTCAATAATAAAAACAAATGTTGTAAAATCTCTGCTAAATGTTATGGAGAGTGTCTTTAAAGCATACATGTTTACATACATACATATATACTTACATATTTCTACAATTCATTCAAAATCGGCTATAAAGGATAAGACACGATGTCCTTTTCGTATTTGTTTCGAACTCGAGCAAATTTTTTGTCTAGCAAAATTTTGTGTGTGTATGTGTATGTGTTCACCATCACATTCACTTATATACTCGTACATGTATGTATGTAATTAAATAAATGTATGTTCGTATGTAACTCTCACTCCATAATGTTTCTTATGTGTTGTTACGTCCATGATTTTTAATATATGAAACTCCCTTTGAACCCCTGCTCTCATCAGTCACATGTGACGTTCGCTCACTGATCATTCTCTCTTTAGCGCACGAATTTCTTTCTTCTCTATCCTATCTTCTCTTCCGATATGCTTCATTTTGCATATACATGTGCATACTCGTATATATCATAAGCGCAGCTGAGGGTGATCATCGAGGATAATGAAAGTAAACTGTCTGTGAAGTTCTCTTTAGCAATATCAATTTGATCATATCATTTCTATATCTAAATGATTCGCTATATTTTCGTAGATATAGCTCATATATGGTGGATACGCATATATGTAGATACTTTTGGTTTAAAAATTACTAGATGAATTTTTTTTTAACAAAAAGTGAACGAGACGCATGCAAATAAACTGCAAGTGGATTACGTATACGCAACGTTGAACCGAAAGCGATAGAATGAAATGAAAGGAACAGATATTTGTGGTAGGCAACATTGCTGCAATATATCTTTATTTGAGTTAACAATTCAATATTACTTCCAGTTGGCATAGTATTTCTCCTGATTTAAGACAAAAGAACTTAGTTTTCTATTTTTCAAGAAAAACGATTGAGCTTTTATTGTTCATTTGGAAAAATGTTTCCACTCCAAACTAAATTTGAAATTTCAATAAAACATTAAGGACACCTAGATTTAGGCTTTAATTTTCTTTTCTTTTTTTTAAATATTATTTTGTTTTAATTTATGCATTGGGTATAAATAATAAGTCGAAACAAAAACAGGCTTATTTGCTAAGAACCAACAAAAAATTAAATATTTGCTTTCACCAATTACGATCAAACACCGGAAAAAAATTATTTAGTCTTTCGTTCAAAAATTCCTTTGGTAATATTCGTTTTGTTTCATTAAACAAATTTGAGATTGGTTTATATGTTGATGTTTTTATCATAAATTTTTTTCCATTAAATTTTTTCCTTCAAAAATACTTTAATTTTTATTTATTTATTTCTTTATTTAGTTATTTATTTATTTATTTCTTTATTTAGTTATTTATTTATTTATTATATGTTTCTTTTATGAACATGAAATGGTATTGTATATTAACTTTGGTCCGAAGTAAATAGATACCAATAGGTGAAGGAATCCGATCCGATCAGACGGATGAATTGGGTTGATTGAGCCAAGTCTCTCTGTCTGCCTGTCCATTTGTAGATCTGTATACTTTATTGATAATTGCTCGGAATCAGGTTACAATAACGTGAATACGAACGATTTTTCAGATCGGAGGTTTTGGGTTGAAAATCCATCGAAAAAGTATCTAAAGCATGGAATTTGGTTCTTCATGGGCAATAAAAACACTTCAGCATTACCGAAGACTAAATTTTTTCTATTTGTTAACTTATTATTGTTTTGATTAGTCATATTTTTTTTTATTTGTTTAGTTACATAGTTAAAATTTTCTTCAGTTATTCGCATATTTTTTTTTATTTATTTTACAAATTGTTTTTTTTTGCTTATATATTTATAGTTTAATTAATTGTTTATTTTTAATTTTTTTTATTATGTATTTATGCGTGCTCGATATGTTCCAGTACAATCCAATAATAAGAAAATGCATATATAAAAATCATAACCGTTAAGGACCCTGATTATTACACAATTGTATTGTAACAAGTCCAAAAGTATTTATGCTTATCATCCAAAACTGAAAATTCATCTGTCTGCTAAGCAAATCACAGTTGCCTATATCCCTTTGACGAAAATAAACATTAACAAACATTTCACACTAACTGTATGCATTTATTTTTATATCTTTCCAACAGCTACCGGCGCAGTGAAGACCTCGATGATCTCTTCAATATGACATCCAGTTCAAAATCGCAAACCTCTAGCCAAGGCGATAGCAATTACATGTTCAAATCGAATAAATCGCTGGACGTTGAGGGACTGCATGAGGAGTTGTTAATGGCATAAGAGAGTTAGATCACAAGACACACATACACGTATATAGATACTTCAAAACTAATGTGCATATGTAAATATGTATATGCCACAACACAAGAATGACAAGAATGTCCATTGAAGCAGGAATGGAACTCTTTAACTCCTCAATGTACGCTTTGGTTATTGAAACAAAATTTTGCGCTACAACAACAAAATGTGAAATAGAAGTAACTACACATACTTACATACATACATATATGTATTTATATTATATAACGAAACATCACTCATTCTCACACACACATGCTTGTGTGTTTGTAGTTTACCATGTACCATTTGTACTAGTTGTTGATTGCGGCTTTGTCCATGTTCGTAGCCTTCGTACGCATCGCAACCGAACAACCAACCAAACAACTTCTTAGAAACAATTTGAAAAGCGTCAAAATCTCTACTCTCTTATAATTGTGTATTTATTTATATTTATTAAAATGCATTTACAGACGTATGTTTATCGACGACATTAAACAAAAAGCAAGAACAAAAAAAAAAACAAACTCGACATTCGACTATTGCACACAACAAGAATGTGCGATTAGTAGGAGCAAATAAAATCGATAAAACGAGGTGTGAAACCGTAATTTTAATTAGTGCAAAAATATTTTACTAAAAATTGTATTTTATTGGAATTTCTTACATACGTGTATGAATATGAACTTACATATATGTACATATGTACTCCTTGCAACTAATACGGAGCGCTACAAAAAATTATTTGGCTTGCAAACGCTTTTATTCAAATACATATTTATTGTAATTAAAGCTTATGTTTACGAAAAACAGTTGGGAAAATTAAATTATATAAAAAAAGCTTATTTAAAGAAAAGTATATAATGCACGCACATTAGTTATTTTAGGTATGTAGTTTAATCTGTTTTACAAATCTACTTATGTATGTGAATTAATTAAAAGCATTAAATTTATGTAGCAAAATAGAAAACAACAAAAAATGCCAAACAAATACAGCATTGAGATCCAAAAAAAAAAAACAAAATACAGCTCAAAGCCAAACTGGTATTACGGTTCATTAAAGCGTGTATAAGACAAATTTTCATTCATGCAATTCATCGAAGCTAGTCCTTTTAATATATTTAAGTTATTTTTTTATATATTTTTATGTAGACATAGCTTTATTTGTACATAGTATATATAATATTTATGTCATGATGATTGTGTATCTTTTTTTTTTAGCCATAATGCAAGCAAAATGCAATTCAAGAACTTTAAAATATGTGTGTATTGAATAATTTCGAATGTGATATGTATTTAATCCGTGTAGTCATACCTATGTATGTAATATATTTACATATGTATGTATGTGTAATTGTTATGTTAAAAAATACAAAATATTATTAAGTCTAATTTATTATTTTTAAAGCAAGCAAACGGTTCAAAAATAAATTATTTTTATTTTTTTTTTCTATTTGTAAAATTTGTCTTTTCATATGACAGTGATTTAAGAATAATTTATAATTAAAAAAAAATATCTCATATTTTATACACTCCAGTGCCGCTAAAATATTGAAAAAACTGAACAATCTTTAATAATTTTCTTTCCTTTTTTATTTCACTATGTACGAAAATCGCTTAAATGGTTATAAATCGCCAATTATATTTGCATATATACATATATACCTTATAACACTGATATAATGAGCAGTATAAAAATTAAAAAAGCAGAAGGGCTTTAATTAAAGTTCATTGACTTACAAAAAAAATTATTGCCACATATTTTATATTGCGAAAATACTTGAAAAGCTGAAGAAATTGACTTTTAATTTGTTTTTATTTTTTATTTTCTTTTTTCTTGCGACATTAAAATATAGTAGATAAAAAATTTTAGTAATGAGAAAGTAAATTTTCATTTTCCTTATTTTACTGGAAAAATAAACACGATTTTTGTTATCACCTTTTTGAAATAAAAATGTTGAACACATAACATGTCAATAAAACACGTAATTCTAGAACAAAGTTTTAACTAAAATTAAATATAATATATATAGATACTTCAATATTTAATTTTTTTTTACTTAATTTTTCTTACAGAAGTATTTTAATTTTTTTTTTTTTTTTTTGTATATTTTGATTTTAAATTGACTCGCGGCCAATAATATTATAGTTTTTTCTATAAAATTAGTTTTTTACTGGATTAAGTAAAGTTACGTGCTTAAAAACATAAGCAATTTGCTAAAAATGCCATATTTTTTAAGAAAAAACTGTTTCTTTCTTTTACAATAAACTAAGAATCGATATTAAATAAAAATAGGTATAAACTAAGAAATATAAAAAATGTGTGTAAAGAACACTAACGCATACCAAATGCTTACCGATGAAATTGAATTAAAATTTAATTTTTCATTATAATTTTATTTTGTTCTTTTTATTTTAAATTTATTTTATTTTTATTTTTATTGTTTGCCAAACATGCATCACCGCTTCGCACTCAAAAATCACGCTAAAATATTTCTATAAATCTTCTTAAGCCGATTGAAAGCGTACAACATTGTAAACCAGAAAAAAAAAGCAGCAAATTTAAAAAGCTTTTTCATGTGTAGCATACATACGTACATGTTGTATTAAACATTAATAAAATAAATAAAAATTAATATAAAAAATAAAAAATCGAAAATGTCGTAAAACAGTGTGTGTGACTACTACTGCAAATAAATACATACATACCTATGAGTATATGCTGTTAATCGAAGAATTTTACCCGTCTCATTGGAATGCAAAAAGAGATTTATGTCAGGCGTTACTTATAGAATGAAAAACTTTTCAAAAACACCTCTTAAGCGAAGCTTCAAATAAACGAGTGCATAGTTTTGAGGTTGAAAATCCCAACAAAATTAATTATTTTCAAAAACCTACATAGTAAATATTTATATATGTATATGTAGCCGATAGAGCTCTATTTATGTGCAAAGTAAAAAACAAACAAGACGCTGATTTAAACTAAAATATGTGCATTAACTGAGATTTGAAATATATACATACATATATATGTATATAACTGCATATAAAAGAAAAAGTCAATGTAAATGAAAACGAAAATAGTTCATACCATACACATGCATATGTATGTGTATAATGTTGTATTTAAAACTGAAATTATGAAATGACACCAAGAATAAAAAGTGGAAAATTGCAAAATTGGAACCTGTATAGAACCATACATTCAATAAAAATACTAATTTCTGCATTTGTTTATTTAAATACAATGGAAACTCGCTAACTTTGACCGACTGTATGCCCTCAGCTTGTCAATATAGAAATGGTAAGTATTTTGCGTGGGAGCTGCTTTGACTGTGTTTTTTTTACACTTTCTGCGTTTAAAAAATTAAAAACCAAAAATATAACTTTGTATTTAAAATTTTGTTTTATTAATTCATATAAAGTTTAACTACCATTAAATTGTTTAATTCATTTTTACGGTTAGTTTATAAATACACAAGTGTTAGTCTTTCATGCACGGAATATAAGCAAATATTAATATAAGCATTTATGTATTTTAGTTTAAATTCATTTGACAATATATAAAATTAATACCGCGTATACAACGAGCAGTAATTGCTTGCTTATATATATATATTAATAAATTAAAGAAACAAACTAAAGGCAGTATGAAAGTAACGTATTCAGCGAGCTGCATTTTACAATAAATTCAAGTCAAATTTTACATTTAAAACTATAAATTTTTTATAATAAAAATACTAATTGCTATAATTCAATAAATACCCAATTTGAACAGACTCTTCTTGCGTGCCAACATATAGAATTCACTAAAAAGAGTTTCTGTATTCAAAAATAAGATTTTCCTATTTACATTTTATATCTTTTTATCGTTTTTTTACTTATTTACTTTGAGATTCATAGCTTATAAGAATTCATGTACTTAAAATGTATTTAAAAAATATATGCATATTATGTACGCATTGAGCTAGCTGAGAAATTAAAATTCGATGTGCAAAGCTTAGCAAAATTTAATTCATTTTTAGTTCAAAACCTTTTTTTTTTTTATATACAAAAAATTCATTGGAAAGTATACAATTTCTACATGACATGCTTTAAGCATTAATAGCTTTTACATATATTTTCCGTTTGATTTTTTTTTTAATATACTTATGTACATATATGGACTATTTTAGTTATGCTTTACTTTAGAGTCTCCCTATTATACATCATCCCAATAGTACTTCACATTATCACGTTCGCGTGGCACATATAAAGCCGCACATGTACTCTCCCATACCTCTTTCGGATATTCCCATTCCGAACTGAATGACCATTGCTTTGTGTCCAAGTCGTAACATTGCACAGCGGATGTGGCACGATTAATAGTTGCTGTTGAAAGTAAACCACCGATGAAATAAACTTTTCTTTTAACCGCTGCCACACCTGTGTAATACTTCGGCATAGGATTTCGTGATTCTGTTAACCATTCGTCCGTTGCTACATCGTAAACATCCACCGCATCTGCCAAAACACGCATCTCAGTTACGGGATCTTCATACCAACCCCCAAAGGCATATATGCGACCATCAAAAACGATGAGTACATGATCGGCACGTGGTGTTGGCATCGAACAAAGCCTATGCCATTTACTAGATTTCGTGTCGAAGCGCCAAAGCGTAGGCAGTACAATGTGTCGATCAATGCCACCTAGAAATAAATAAAAAGGGTTTAATAACAGAAAATATACTCATCTACATATGAATAAATGTATATTTTAATAGATTTATGAAATTACCCGATATATATAACTGATCACCCAACACCACGCCTGCATGTTGACTGCGATTCTCAGCCAACGCCGGCAAATATTCCCAACGATCTGCATTGGCATCATAACGTTCGCAGTTTGAAACAGCCATGTCTTGTGCCCAAAACTCAGCGCCGCCATCATTTTCATTCAGTTCACAAACACCGCCCACCGCGTACAGAAAATTCCCACCCATCGCATTCAGTGAGAAGCGACAGCGGTCCGCTTGTATAGGTGCTATAGTTTTCCATTTGTTTTTGGCTGGACAATAGCGAAAGCCAAAGGGATGTATGTATTCCTTGAGACAGACATCATAAGAGCCGCCTACCACATATAAATCATTACCCAAAACTGCTGTACCGTAATTGCCTAAAAATATGCAATTCCCATTGACTTTATTCTAACAAATATTTGTATAAATATATATATATATATATATATGTTTACGTACATTGCTCTATGTGCGGAATCACGGTAAGGCTCTCCCATTTGCCCTTCGATGGCAGATAACAACTAATACGATTTGTTAGACCATTTGTTTCGAAACCGCCAATCTTCACCAAGGCCAATTCCATACCACGCGTATTCGTTAGGACCTCTGTCGAGCGCAAATCATCTGCATAGGATTCGGTCAAACGTAATTTTCCCATCTCTTGCTTTATCATTTCATCATTCAATATTCGATAGTAGGCAAATGATATGGAATTGCTATTGGGTTCAGATTCGAGTTGTGTGCGCCATTTGGTGGTAAAGGTCATTAATGCAGAATCACTGATTTGATGAAATTGTATTTTGTCGAAGAGGCGTCGTGTCAACTCTGGTTTCAAATTAGATTTCAAACAATATTCCAATACGATTTCGAGTACTCTTTGTTCTGAGCAATCTACTGGATAATTACAAGCAAGAATATGCTCAAACTGGTCTAATGTAAGGTTTAGTAAATCTGGTGTTTGCGCAAATTCATCCATTCGGGAACACATATAACGATAAGCTTTCTTCTTTAGCGGCTCCAGCGAGTATAAGTCGGCCAATGCAGTGATGGCAACACAATTATCCAAATCGATTTGTGATTCGAGGAAGTGTGAACACGCATCGATGGCGGCTTTCATCTGCACATGTGTGGATACAGATAGAACATCTTGTACATTATTGCGATCTAATTCTAATTTTGATGTGTAGACATATTCGAGCAACAACTCCATGCCATGTGCATTTATGCCGTTTAACTGAATCTCTGATTGATGAGCTTCCCGCATGGCATCTGTGAACATGGCGCAAAAATAGTCACTGCAGGCAGCCAATACGACACGATGTGCCTACAGAAATAAATTTACAATTAATTCTTATAAAAATTTTAGTTACAAACTATTTTATTCATATTGAAGTCAGCCTATCGCTAATTACTGTTAGTTATTTGAAGGAGAAGGATTTTTTAGGAAATTATTATGTATTTTTGCTTTTACAGTAAGTTCTTTTTTAAAAATATGAAAATAATTTTTAATGAAGCAAAAGCATTTTGTGAAAAAAAAACTTTGTCCTCACCTTAAACATACGTCCCTCCACAATTAGTGTAACATCAAATAGTTTTTCCGAACAACGTAACGCATTAAGACCACGCATTAACGCTTCCGAGTGTATAATTTGCATAAAGTTATCATTACTGGCATTTCGGGAGTATGTTGGCGATGAACAAACTGTGCACGTGGGATTAGCGCGGTTATCGGAGCTACCCTGCGATATGGATGCTGCACCACCGGCCATATCCTATTTTATTTGTTTAGCGAAAAGTTAACAAGACGAAACCATGCAAAAATATAGTCCAACAGAGCTAGTCAGTATTTACTGAATTATTTCTTTACAAAATTTGTATGTTTGTGGTAAGTTTGAATAAACTTACTAAGTTAAAATTAACTGGTAAAATAAGCTTAGCGTAATCTGTTTTAAAATCTTTGAAAGTAGTTCACTATATACGCACAAGCACCGTACGAATGTACATATATGCATAGGTGTACTAATGTACAACTTGTGATGTCATTGACAGCAATTATAATTTTTCTATCAACACTTCCGCTTTATGTTTGTTGGGTTTTACGCGTCTTCACTGGTGCAGCGGGTTCATTCGCATTATTTCTTATCTTTTAAGCCAATCAGAATAATAAGCCTTTAACTTCACATTTACGCTTCAGTTGTTTGAGCTTTCTTTATAGAAGTTCCTCAATGCGTGTGCTGATATCAGTAATTATCAAGGTTAGGGAAGCCACTGTTTACATACATCCAAACGATCCTATACTGAGATTAATGGGAAATTTGATAATGCTTTACTTTTTTTTAGAACAGCCAATTTTTCACTACGAAAAATCGTTATCAGTTTTCGAGCCCGTTTTCGTTAGCAAATTAAATTTGTTTTTAATTTATATGGCAGAAAATTGATCCAGATGGCGGCAGAATCACTGTCTTTAACCTGTTGAAAAAAAAACATTTATGAATTAAATATCAAACACTTTAAAATAATATCTCACAACCAATGCACAATTTTAGCAGGTTCAATCCAAGGGACCAGCCTTTACCAACCCGAACACAAGAAAGCAAAACACAATTTTCTGCAAAATAATTTATGAATAGCTATAATTTCGTCATTCGAATAGTATTAATGTTAATATTTTCTAAACTAAGAAACAGTTGCAGCTTTCTTTATTAAAGTGGTCCAAATTGTTTTCCGTGAACGTGCACAAGATAAGGAAATAAAATTTACAAATGTTTGATTGGATAAAAAGTATCGTAATGACGTTTGAGGTAGAAATTATCGAAACTGCAAAATGTCAGGTGAGCGCTGACAGGGTAACTCGCATTCTAATAAATTGATATGCGCTAACGTACAAAATAATTGTGTGCTTCAGCAAACAATTAAACGTTTAATGCGGACATATGTATCAAAGCGAGTGCAGTACGCTAAAATAAATTGTGATAAACAGCGAGAAGTCTTTATTCATTATTTCCACTTGATAAACTACTTTATTTACATGGAGAGTATGTATGTGTGCAAGTGTATACCAAATGCACAACTATTCAAATCTATAAAAATATTGTTTTTTTCTTATCTTATGCCTCTCTTTCGTAAACAAGATTTACATTTCTTTTGCTGCGCCATTCTTGTATTATATTCCAGTGCTGTCGCTCATTATAAAAGTAGTAATCGGAAATTAAACATGCAGGCAAATACAACTCTGATTCTATATATTGCTTTGGTTAAATTTTTCTCAGTTTGTGAAAGAATTTCGTCGAACTAATACATATTTTACGGTTATTTACTTTGAATTCGTGAGAAATTTTTCTTGCGGCGACAAATTGTTTTTTAATCGTATTGCTTTCCATTAGCAAATGTTACAATAAATTAAATTGGTTACTAGATACAAGTGACGATAGAAATGTGGCATGATATTGCGCAAAGTGTGTAAATATATTTTCAAGAAAGCAAAACCTTTGTTGAATTTTGTTCAAACGACGGAAATTCAAGAAAGTTGCATCGCTCGTGAATTTTAAAGCATTTACCACATTTCCCAAAGCATGTGGAGAAGTTCTCGCAGCCCACATAGCCTCAAGTAGGCATGGATAATTGTTTTAATATAAACAAAAATACTATATTGTTTTGTTCAAATGCAGTGACTAAATTTACATTATTTGGGTAAATCTTGATTTAAATGTTGACCAAAACTTACATTTATTTTATTTAAACAAATACCACAAAAGCTCGTATCATTTAACGTTTCTGCGCTTATTCCATACATTTTATGGCCAAAATTGATACTTTTGTTCATCGACGTAAGACAAGCGTACTTGTCCAACTGGTTTTTGGCTTTCTTTAACAACTCAAGCGATACAATGAATGCGCAACACTAGCAGAAGCGAATGTTGTGGCTCACAAGTAAAAGAACAACCAAATATTGCAGTAATCTCCAAATATTTATATTCATTTAGTGTTTTGGTAAATAAATACATACATAAATAGCACGGTGGAAACACTACTGCTCTGGAAAAAGCCATTGGAGTCAACGAAATCTGTGTTTAATCAGTCAGTCTGTAGTGGGACGCTCGAATATTTTCATCTTAATGTTTGGAATCTCGGCGCGTAATAAAACAGGCAGCACCATTAAATTGCTTAATAGCAAACAGTGGAGGTAAGTTCGAGACATACTTGTTTCTTGGTACTTTATCATAAGCTATTATTATATTTAAAATCTTATAGTAGAAGTGAGCACCTGTGTATAGGTATATCTTTATGTCTACGTAGATATATATATTAAAATGTTTAAAAATATGGAATTCCTTAAAGCGTTAAACTTTGATCTCATACGCAAGATGTGAAATAAGAGAAAAATAAATATAACGAAGAAGCTTTATCGGTAATGCTTTTACTTGGAAAAAGTTACATTCATTGCGATATTCAATTAAGTTAAAAAAAAACCCACTTCACGCCTAACTGTAAATGTTTGATAGATAAAATGCGTAACAAGGTCAATAGCATCGCAATAGTATTAATTTATCTTTGAAAAATACCTGACTTAAGTTGTATGTATGTACAATACATACGAGTGTATTTTAAAAATCACAAAAAATCAACGTTGTAATTACAATTAAGTAGATAAACATTTAAAGACCGTTTAACTTTTTTTCTTTTTCAATTACAAAACCAACATCATTAACTACCGACGAAAGCAATTCGTTTATCTGCTGCGTAAGACCAGTAGCTGGAACACGAATAGCTTCGTCGGTAATGGTATAATAAGCCATGCCAACTGAGGACAAGCAACCGGCCGAGGTACATATTTCTTTTGATGATGAATCCAACGAACCAGTTCTTTTACGGCGGCAGCGGGAGAGTCAAAAATAAGTTCCCGCTGCCTTGCGTGAAATTTTGCTTGGTCAGCCAAAAAAATAGCTTTAAAGTAAAGGAAAGTTTACTTTTGGTGAATTTTAAAAACTTTATAGGACTTGAGTATATCAAGCAGATTGCGATTGATATAAACTTTTGCTTATGTTCTTATTATACATATAAGCAAATATGTTTATATATGTATGTACCCAAATACATGTGTATATTATACAAAAATATAGCTAATATTTTCTTAATTTGATAGTTCGTTCCAAGGTGCCAAATAAATTTTGCTCGCTTCACTGAGTTTTGCTAGCAGTTTTTGAACCAGACTGACTTCACATATGTATATATGAATTTATATATAATTGGGTCTTTATAACCACTAAAGCGATTTTCTGCGGAGCTCCTTCTCCAATTTGTGATTTTTCGTCTTGATGTTTTTCCAACAAATGGCGGAACCTACAGTTTATACTAAGCCGCGTCCGAAAGGCCCCTAAGCAAAAATATTAAAATTTTATTAATATCGTTTATTTATTTGAGTTATTCCTGTTAGAAATATTTACTTTACAGCCTGTTCCATTGGAATTGACTCAAGTTCTGACACTTCAATAAGAAAATGTAGAGGCCTCTTGCTCTACGCCCCAAAGAACATTATTGTTAGTCGGATACCTTTTTCTTAACATCAATTTTGAATCTGGGGACTGTGCAGGTCATTCCATCAAAGGGGCATTATTGTCCAGAAACCACTATTTAGCTTTTTTTTTGTATGCTTTGGGTCACTGTCTTGTTGCATGACCAAAATTAGTGGCGTATTCTAAGAAGCACACGGCGGCATTACTTCCTCGAATATTTTTATGTATTCTAATGCATCTATGATGGTATTTATACGGTGAATATGCCCAATACCATAGTACGAGAAACATCCCCATATCATGCTACTGGAACCTCCGTGTTTTATAGTCTTTGCGGTAAAATTTCTGTAATTAATATACTGAATATGGTGCGCTTCCAACATGGGATCAAGAACCCTTTCCACCAAATAAAAGTATTTGACACTCATCTGTCCGCAGAATATTTTCAATAGGCCATTCTAGGTGGCTTTTAGCAAACTACAACTATTTGGACACACGCTTATTTGTCAAAAAAAGATACTTTTCGTGGACTGTGGGCATTTAGATCTCTGCTTCCACTGAATAGAATTATGCTTTTGAACGTATTCAAAATAAGCAACCGTTATTTCGACAAAAAAAAATTGTTACTGGTAGAGTGTGCTACTAATAACGAGTCTGTAAAGTTATGGATAAAAATATATAAGCATTGCCACAGAATTCAATATTACTTATAGTGTTGCTATTATTTTGACAGCAACTGTAAGTTTTAAGTGAGAAAAATAAGTAAACAAATTTTATTTAAACTCATTTAAATACTTTTCAATTAAATCTTTGTCAACAAAACTCGATGCCCTTCATTAAACTTGTTTGAAAATCGGCATTGCTCATACTATTTTTATAAGCATCAAAATCTTGTAAATACATATGTAGGTATGTATGTATGTATGTATGACTGTAGAATTTACTCCATTCAATCACGCATTCTTTGCTTTGTTTCAAATAATCTTACGCGTACGCAAAAGTATGTACATACGTAGGTACGCTAGTCAAATTTATCGGTTTTCGAAATGATTAATTTTATGCTTAAAGAAAATTAGAGACTTATTGAAAACTTGCATCCAAAATGGTAAGTCTTTAAGCGCAACTGACTGCATGACAACTGTGATTTGACTCCGTTGGACTATGCTTTACGGTGAGCCACTAACTATAAGTGCTACGCCCACCATCCAGAGGTCATTCATGGTGTGAACCACGTAATTGATGTCCGTTAGTGCAGCCCTAGAGGGCCACATAATCGAAAATGTGTTAAAAAATTAGGCCGGCAGACAAAATAAAATGGGACTACTTAAAGGCCAACTGCGGTAGCTACCGTCCAACCGTTAAAAATTATTCATCAGAGATGAATTAACTTCAGCCCGAAGTATGTACGAGGGATCGTTTTTATGTTCGCTGTAGGAAAGGATTGTGGGGGGGGATGATTAATTATAAATACGAAGTTTCATCGTCCTCGATGATGGTCTAAACAAGGAAACGGTGAATCGGCTACAACAGCCCTTAGAGTGTGAAGGAGCATTTTTGCACCTCTGTAATAAAGAGAAGGATGGCGCATTGAGTCGAATTGTTTTTGAATACGAAACTTGGGTTTGTCATTATAAACCTGAGTCGAAACTAGACTCTATGCAAAGTCATAAAAAGGGCACGGCACTTGCCAAGAAGTTTGTTGTGCCACAATCAGCTGGAAAACTAATGTTAACGGTCTTTTAGCACGCTAAACTAATATTTTTATTACTGATCGATTCCAAAGATAAATATGTTTTTAAAACTAAAGAATAAGCCGCTTCAATATTTGATTAACTAAAAGAGAAACATTAGAGAGAAAGTACGGAGAAAATGTACGAAATTTGTGCTACTTTTGCACGACAACGCATCCGTCCACAAAAGTCACGTTGCCTTAGTTGCTCTGCATTAGGTGGGATTCGATATTCTAATTCACCCGCCCTACTGCCCAAACCAGACCCCGATACAAAAAATGGAAAAAGAACTGAGGCGTAAAAAATTTGTCATCGATAAAGCAGTCAAAAATTGCCTCCTCGGCATATTTTGAAGATTAAGCGAAGACATTTTTTTCGAGCGAAAAAGTAAACTAATTGAAAGATATGAAAAATGTATCCGCCCTGAAGATGCATTTATTAGAAAGCAAAAATAATTTTGTTTTTTATATCCACACCTCCTCCTTCATTCTGCGAACATAAAAATGCTCCCTCCTGAGTACCAGAAGAAGAAGAGATAGACTAATCAAAATGTATACAAGAACGATGAGCTAAGTTAATTTAGCCATGTCCTGTTTTCGTACAGATAAGCATTGGTAAATTTAAACGATCATTTGTTGGAGTTCTCTAGATCGGACCGCTATGTCATATAGCGGCCAAACAACCGATCGGATATGAAAATTGTCTCGAAAATCTATCAAAACAGCATCTAAAAGTGTAAGATCACTAAGGACTATATCGTATTGACGGCCGCGGTAGCCGAGTGGTTAACATTGCGTACTGCCATTATTTAATCGCGGTCGCAAATCAAAATCAAAAGCTCCTCATAAAAACCATCAGCCGTTCGGAGGCGGCTTAGTATAAACTGTTGGGCCATCCATTTGCTGGAAAAACATCAAGACGTAAAACCACAAATTTGACAAGGAGCTCGGCCGGAAATCGTTTCAGCGGTTACAAAATATATATATATATATAGAATAGCACCCATATAATCGATTTGTGCAGATAAGAGAATGAAATACCATCAATTTTTTTGTAAAAATGATTATACATACTCCTGTATGTATATTATATATATATATACATATGTACATATGATTGCCAAAATTTTGAGTATTACTAACGGGCTTACAAATACAATTATATCCAATTTGTTTCAAAATTAAATTAATTCGGTACAATATCATTTATTCTGTTGTTAATTTATTAGTGTATAGACTGGTATACTCGTACATATGTATATAATATGTACATAAGTGTGTACGCATGCACATTTGCTTTAGCGCTTTTTCGCTTTGTGTACATTAAATACAAATGTTTAAGCGCTTTTATTTTTATTAATTATCGTAAAACGTTAATGCATGCAGACGTAAACAAAGTGAAGAGAAACTGGAAAGCATCTTTGTTCGTAGTCGTCGTCGTCGTCGTTGTCGTCGTCTTAATCTTACTCGCTGTTGACGCGCTGTGCATGGATAACATGTTGATAGCAATCTTCTTGCTTCACCGGTCCAGACCGGATCATACATGGAGACAATGCATATCGGTTGTGCATATACTTACATACATATGTACTTATACATATATGTACGTATTTATACAAAAATATTTGCACGTAAATAAATGAAAGATTTTTTTTCGATTTATTCCACGAACAATTGTACAAAATGTATGTTTGTACTTGACTTTTTATTATCAAAAAAAAACAAATTTATAAAACAAATACTTCTTGTTCTAAATAATGAGTTAAACATACATACAGCTGTGTAGACAACTTTCATATGACTTCGCAGTAAGTCATTCAATTGATGGCTAGTTTTTTTTTTTAATTTTCTATTACAATATTGTCTAAAAAAGTAGCAGCTCGAACCCCAATAAGCAGCATATATTTCTTAAAAATGCTTTACAATTCCATTTGCATATAT